AATTTCTAGGGAAAAGTATGTCGAAATGCTGCGGGTACACTTTCAGACGTGAAAATAATGATTTTTTTTTGTCCTCGAGATTATTGTCTTTTGAATTGAAGACTTCGCGTAAATTAAAAATTTGCCTATTACACCATTTAACACTAATGGCGAACAATAACTGAAATTTTGCAAAAAGATGTAGAGAAATGAAGAGTCTAGGAATGATGAACTGATAATCATCACAAATTGTAAAGTAGAAAATATTTTAAAGGTGCAGTTTTTGAAGTGCGATTCTCAAAATTTCGACTTAAGAAAGCAACTTAACCGTAGGTGGAAAAATGCGTTGCAATCGACGATTTTCTCACCTTTTCTACGAATAACGTCATGAATACCTTTACTTAATTATCAGTCCGAACAGAAATAGAAACACTGTATTTATGATGTCCGTTCTTTCATTTTAAATCGGAATCTATTAATTGAATTTTCATTTGATCAGCATAAGACAAGGCTCAACGCAATTGTAATAGTTACATTAATTATCGATAATTGTTACTATGTTCATGTCACATTTGTGCAATTTATACTTTCTTCTACTAACACCCTTTCCATTCACTTCTCAAGATACCAAAATTAAATATTCATAACATTTTAACAAACACCACGTTGAACAATTGCAATGAGATATTCGTTCTGACCTTTAAATCTCTTGAAATATACCTATTGTAAAATATCACCAAGAGCTCTGATTCAGTGCACTCCTGATGTTTCCCCGGTATACATTAACTTATAGAGCAAATTTATTAATAAATTCCTTTCTTTTAGATTACATAATATATTATTTTATAAATAATTAACAGTGGATAATAACGAGAAATAATTAAGAACGGATAATAAAATCAAAATATTTTTCTTCTGTATTTCATTAAACTGCCAACATAAAATACAACAAATTTTATCAATAAAATGGTAACATTTTATCAACACCACTTCATTTTCTTTTATTTTCTCGAGCGTGGGTGCAACCTTGACGATTATATTTTTCCCGCCCTTTCCGCAGATCGACTTGAAGCACATCAACCAGAAGTACGACGACGACATGGTGACGGTGGGCATCGACCTGCGCGAGTACTACCCGAGCGTGGAGTGGGACATCCTGAGCGTGCCGGCGGAGCGCCACACCAAGTTCTATCCGTGCTGCGCCGAGCCCTACCCGGGTGAGTGCGAGGCCGCGCGAGGCACGCAGGCGGGCGGGCGGACGCGCCGGAGACGGTCGCCGGCAGCGGTGAGTACCGAGCACCCCGAGTGAGGGGGCGAACGTTCAAAACGGGACACGCCCACCCCCACTCTTTTTCCAATGAAGATGAATATGTAGCGCAAATTTTACATTTTTCAATTTTCTCCTAATTTCAACGAATAAGGTACTCGTCTACCTGTGTTTTAATTGTGGCGTTTATCTCAATTTAAACATATTTACTCGTAGGATGTCCTTAACAGTAACCCGTTATTACAAATTCATTTTTTTAAATTTTATATAAATTATTTAATTGGATATTCTTCTCCCAACAACAGAGTGTCCTTTGTGACATCATAACTCAAGAACAGTTAAACACATTTTTTGTGATTCTTTTTTTAAGACTTATGTGGATTATACTTTAGTGTGAACCTACATTTTGAAGATTGACAAAGTACTTGTATGTACATTACAAGGGTTTGAATTAACTTTACTTTTAAAAATACCTGGTAACAATGTCGATTAACAGCGCAATTTATTATCGATAATAAGCATTGTCTATGACAATCAGTTAAACT